AAGTGTGCTTCAACTGAGTTGAGCGAGTATGAAGCGACGAAAAGCTGGGGAAAATTGAAATCACCCATAATGAGAATGGGAATGGAGTAGTAAGAGCATACGCGACGGATTCGGTCACATATACTGAATGTGTGAGTGTCCATTGCGGTTGGAGAGCGGTAAATGACACCAATAATGCACGCATCTATCTTGTTTGACTTCAGCATACACCAGAGGGTATCTTCAAGGATGAGATTAGCGTCAGATATTTCAGCACATTGAAGACTACTGTCATAATATAGTGCAACTCCACCGCCATGGGTGGCTCGATCGTGTCGTATAACACTCATGTTTGTAACTTCGATTTACTTGTCCGATATTTCCGCTTGCAACCAAGTCTCAGTCACCGCCACCAAGTGAGGTAGTCACAACACAGAAGAGTCCTGTGAGAAACGATCAGGATGAAGTCGGTCTCTTACCATGCAATAGAATTCAAACTAAGACAAAACCCGAGCCAATTTTCATCATAACAGACATTGAAGAGATCAGCTTTCTTGTGATTACTTTTCAGAAGCGACTACATCTCTGTCAAAGTCACATGCGGATCGATCATCCCACCAAATCATATTGACGCAGCTGACCAGTCGAGGCTGACACCCTACTCGAGTGCTCAAATACAAGCCCGAATATTTTGACTGATCCGTTTTTCTGCCGCTCATGTCATCTAGCAGTCGGCTTCCATCCACGCTCACACCTACACCGGTGGAACAGATGTATTGCGTGAAGAACGTACGAGCACTTGCCATTGGTTGTTCATAACAACGGTCCGCCGTAATCCGTCTTCATTGATTGCCGGCACATCCTGACGACCATGCACTCCACTGTCGCTGACAGATAATTCATTGGCTTGCCACGTCGTTCGAAACAGTGAACGTAAGACCTACTGTTCATGATGAACTAGCCGGTTTTGAGTGTGGTACGGAACAGAATTCTGATCATTTTCATCTGTGTTGATACGACGCCCTCGACCAATAAATCTATTTGACGTGGTTGATTGGTAAACTTAAATGCCGCTTGTGACTTTTAGACTACATTTTCAACTAGTTTACGGCTGCCCAAAGTCTGAAACCTTTCTGGGTGTCAAGTCTCATGTAAAAAGGTTTCGTTTGCACCCTCGTAGAGCTATAAGACCACTCGTGTTTGTGGCCATCCTACGAGCATAAGATACCTTGAAATGCGTCTTCACTTATGATATAGCAGGCCCACGAGCCACAACTCATCAGCGGAGAAACACGGTTTGTGGCCTTCACATTATTGTATCAAACTGTCAAGGTCCGCTACACGTCCATCATCTGGGCTGTTGATTTGACTCCACAGCTTTAGGTAGCCATTGAACAATGAAGAAGTCGAGTCTAGGGTCTGAGATAATCTAATTACAGTGAATATATGGCAGCGGCTGAGGAACTACATTCTTCGTCAAATCCCCCGTTGTTTGGTGGGGCTGAAAGACTATCCGTTTCACCTTGGCTTACCACCGTCACCTAAAACAAGGGACTCAACTACCGCTTCAATCTATGCTTTATATGTGTCTTGTGCATGTTTCGCTCACATTAAACTCATGTCATGCCTGATGCTATATTGAGTATTTAGACGGGTAATATTTCATCACCTTGTTGACAACCCGCCACAAACAAATCGCACTGTCGTCAATCAATTTGTCCAGCCAACGGCTTGTGAAAGCTTCTGATGAATCCTCCCCCCAAATGGCTAGGTGCTATCCAGAATTGAGTGATTCATTGTACACGCTCACCATGGGTTGTGCAAAAAGTGAGGTTAGTTCAGATGTTTCTGATATCCATTTTGTAAAAGAGATGTCCCAACTCTGTGCTAGATATCTACTTCAGGCCGTTATGTCCGTGTGTGTGTTCTAAAGGACAATGTCAAGTAACTAGATTCCCATTTTTACTGACTCTTCAGAGTCACATAAAATTTTCCTTGTTAGATACTTGTTTTTTGTTGAAGGAATTGTACATCTGGGAAACAAATACTGAAACTGTTGAGATATTTTATTGGTGCTTGTTTACATCCGCTGAGCTCTATAAGAGGACAGGGGAATTTATTCGCCAACCTTGACGGACGTGTTAGGAACCAATCAAAACTTACAGTCAATGGCTGACTCTTTTTTATCTGAGCAGAAAGTGGGTCGATATTTCACCGCATCTGGAGTCTCTTCTTCACTGTCGAATTAATGAAACAAAAGAATCATCGTCAGAGTGATTAGTGGTCAGTTTTGCATTACTCGAACGTGGTGAAAAAATATTCGAAAATCAGGTGAGAACTAATCACACTGATGATCAGCCACTCATGGCCAAACGGTTAAATGTTAAGTGTTCAATCGCTGCCTGGAAGGTCTGGGGCTCAAAACTTCATGAGTTCCGTGAGGAGAGCATTGCTCATGTTTCCCAACAAGAATGAAGTGGCTTTATAGTGCTTCTCGGCTCATCCGCATCGACTGGCTTCACCGACGGGACAAAATCTCTAGTGAAGGTTTGAAGTCAGTCAGTAGTAGTAGTAGTTGTTGTAAAAAATATCTGAGCCGCGGTACTAATGCATACAGTATACTTTAATCGGATGACCACGATCATTCGACGATTGTTTTACTCACAGAGCTAGTCGGTAGAGACAAGCAACCTCTTTTAACTCAAAAAATAAACGGAACGACATGATCGGAAACACTTAACTGATTCCCACGCACATGTAATCAATTCATTCGGTTAACTCTTGATTGCCGTACTGTAAACTTTCCAACTTATGGTGTGCTCAACCTCTATCGTACCGCCCTGTAGCAACCTTCCTGAACGTCTTCGCCTCACACATTCTGTTCCGTGTTTAATGCAAAAAATTCCCTCTTTAATTCTAGATGTGACCCGGTTTCTGGCTGATGCCAAGTACTAAAGTACCAACGCAGTTGATATCACAATCAGTGGTCTGTTATCCATCAGCATACGAACAATGAAATAGCAACTGCGTGGGCAAATGAATGATAAGAATAGAACACTATGGTACAGGGGTGTGTGATAGTTTTGAGGTACTAAGCCCCAACAAAACAATAGATTTTGTACAACAGTGGCTTTCTACCAAACTTTAAATCTTCCGTGATCCACTCTCACACCCTATGTACTAGGTGCCGATTTCAACCGATGAGACTTGCAGTTCGATTGTGCAAATTTTATGGTAAAATTCTTCGGTGCTTTTGCGCATGAATAAGCCTTCTGAACTTTCTGACTTTTGAATAAGCCTAAAAGGACTAACATAAACAACCCCTTTGATTCCCGGTAATCGTTTTGACGCGTAATGAAGCAGGACGCCAGTATATCTCTGACGGTGATGAAGAATAATATGACACCAAGTGAACAAATCATACTTCACTTCTTAATCTCCAGAGATCTTTCATCAAGCGCCAGCCCGTCTTCTAAAATGACGGATAAATTAAATTGACTGGTTTTTAACCAGTCACAGCATACTATCGATTTTCTTAGAAGAGGAAAGACTTTTCAGAACAGCTCAATAGGTTCCTTTATCCGTGATATTTTCTTTGATGAACTAGTGTAATCTAAAAGTAAAAGCTGTGCAGGAGTCTGAAAAACTATTGTTCCTTTATCCGTGATATTTTCTTTGATGAACTAGTGTAATCTAAAAGTAAAAGCTGTGCAGGAGTCTGTAAAAACTATTGACGACGAATAGGTTTTGAATCAACACAATGGGAGGAAGAACCAATGCTGTTTTCTACTGGATAAATAAATGAGTTTCACATCACCCACACTATTATGAACAACCCTCTCACTCTCTCACAAAAGAGAAATGCTATACTACTTGAAGTATAGCCGGCTGTGCATCGTGATACTTATTCCATTGTAATGGACTGGTTGTCAAGACCAAACACTAATACCCGTCATCATTTTGTTGTCTCATAAACTCATCTGGTACGTCTTGGAAACATACGATTGGCTGGAATCAGAGATTGATCCGCTAATTGTCGGAAGTCGGTTGATTCACTGGACATATTTACACTGTTCATACACTACTAGTGGTTTGCTCAGCACCAAACGTGGTACAAAGCCTAAAGATGCAAGTCCATGGGAATGAGATTGGTGGCAAAAACCTTGATATAGAAGACGATTTTGGTTGTGTAGGTTGTGCAGTGAGTGATCAAGCTGTTCGCTGAGCTTGACAATTTGTTTCAAACGTTTCGCCGCTAATCGAAGTAATACCAGCAGTGCGTTGTTGTTGCGGAGCAGAGCGGGGTCGTTTTTGTGGTTTCGGACAATTGCAACTAACCTGTTCAAAGGAAACAACCAGTCTAAGCATGTAGACATTGAAATAAACAGCAGCATTACCTCTCTTACATCCAGGCGCTAATGTCCTTCGTCGGTTCCCTCATATCGCACTGAATTGCCGCATTTTTTGGCAAATAAAGTACCGGAAGAATGCTCCATGAGGTTGAGATGGATGACCAAGCGGTAAACCAGTCGTCTAATAGCTGATGGCACCATCTCGTACATATTCTTTCGAAGTTCAGGCAAGCTCACCCAGAGAAACTAAATAGTCCCACCATTATTGTTTCGGGTGGGTCGAGTTCTATCCATGAATGTGTTCACACAAACTGCACAGATTCACTTGACCGTAACTGTGGCCCAAATTGTATCATGTGCTCAAGAGACTGGTTCCAGTCTGACGAGTGAGACGCACTCTTCCGGTGGCAGTGGAGTTTCGCGCAGTCACCATACTCATCATCACTGACAGCAATACATCAGTTCTTAATTGGCAGAAAATCAAAAAAGGCCATGGCAAAGAGTAGAAGGAAACGGAAAGGGTGGAAACTTACTAGAACTGAGCTTTTTACTCTCAAGGATCAATGACCTATACCTTTGGACAGCAATAAACTAAACACCTATGAGCATCCCGTGGGCGTGAGTCGCTATCAACAGGACTGACCCTGCACCTTTTTCAAAGCTCAACCGAACTAAGCTCAGCGCACACTACCACACGAACTTTATATCGGCAGTCCAGCTGGAAAATGACAGAAATGCGTGTCACTGGAATCGGTCACGTGGCATGTCCTTCAGCAATTCCAAACACCTGCAAACAGGATCAAGTTTGAACCTAACAAAAAAGGTGCAAAGATCGCACGGCGCTAAGTTTGACAGAAGCGCCAACTCTTAGACAATCATAGAATTTTTACTTTAATACTGTGCTTCCTAGTGCGTAAAAAGTTGTGTACTGATGGACAAGTTGGTCGATACATATTTATCAGTGCTAAACTGCTGTCAGAAAATGTTCACCCACGTTTAGCTTCACACAGACAGCGGGAGAAGCGCTAGAACCTGTGAATAAATCGTAACACCTGAAGTAAATAAGTAGAGTCCTTTGTCTGCTACAATATGTTCAGCCACCAAAAAGCGGACTGCAATTGTTCCATTGTCTCCTCTTGCTGGTTCATTTTAGAATCCATCAATATGTAAAACAGCATATTTCAGCAACATTAGCAGACCTCAGCGAAAGTGACTGTCCCTTCAGATATAGTCATGACTGTTTGTCTACTCGAGTACATGATGGTCATACGGACTCCGGTGGGCAGGATTTGATGTAAAACAATGTTCCGACCAGTACTACGTCCCCACGGTAAGTTACGCTGGCGTTGTTTCCAATGTACAGTATACGACTTTTGGCAAAATGTTCCAGAATTGTCAAAACTAATCAATATTCGTCGCTGTCAATTGGAATTCACCTAACCCATGTTAGTTCTTGATGCCGAAGCATATTGGCCAAGGGATTGAATGGTGCCTCGTCCAGTGCCATGTGGTGTGCCGTCTCCTGCAGGTCGCCAATGTCAGGTTCAAACAGGCGCCTGGCTATATTGCAGTCCAACTAGAGGAAAGAAAGGAAAAAACAGGTCACAATTTCTCTTATGCTTGAATCGCTTATTACATGAGTAACTTACAGGCATGTAGCCCGTACTAGGGAAAGTACTTCCTCCGTCTAATGATAAAAACTCTCTACTGGAAAATTCTTCAGAGCCGAACTAAATCAAACAGCCTGGTAGTTTCCTCACGACGACCTTGGGTTGAAATGCACTACAAACTAGATAAACAATGGCTGCATTATCAAAGTATCATCGTCTTTATGTACATCATGACCTTCAGGAATTTGTGGCCCTTTTTTAGAAGAAAAATTATAAGCAATATTCTGAGTGGTGAAGAAAATAGAGGCTGTGTGAACCATATTGATTAGTATCATGGAATTTGGAAAGGCTTTCAACTGCTGTCCGTACAGCGGTGGGTACGTCCTTAATGTTGTACAGTACACTCTCACTTTAACAACACTCGTCACTGTGGCAACAACAAAAGCTTTTTACAAGTATCTCACGCTATACCGTTACTTCAACCACATTCGACATTCGTCTCCCAAACTGGTTTTATTCTGCCACACGATTCAAGTGGTTCAAAGGGGGTTCTTGTGGAAGTACCGATGTTTATCTCAGAGCCCCTTGTTTACCCGTGTTTATCGCATCAGGACTTTGCGAACTCTCCGTATTTCGGTCAGCATATTCGGTGAACAACTCGTGGTTTATTTCACTCATTTATTTCTCTTCTCTCTCATCTTCCCAATTGTGCTGCTCGCTGTTGAACTAATAAAAGACGAGAAATTTCAGGCCTGTCCCTTTACATTCACTTTTCCAAAACATACTACTACAAAAAAGAGGCTCTTATCAGGAAATTCGTAAAACTGGCGCTCAAGTAAACAGTGATATGATAGAAGTTGAAGAATGGCCGCCATACAATGAGGTCTTGCAGAGTTTGTTGAGAGAGCCAGTTGGTAGATATGCTTTCACCCAACCAACATACAGACAAAGTCAAATTGCAGAGAAGACTTGCAATCAGGTATAAGTGAGCCCTCAGAAAAGTCTTTCACTAACTGATAATGGAATCGCTTTGTGAATTATTCTCAGATTGAAACACAACGTAGCGAGAATTCAATAGCAAATCACACATGTCTGAGCCTGATAAATTTGTTCACCTCTGGTTTGTTCAGCCTTGTCAAGGTATATCAATTGTCATTTATTTACCCTAAGGAAACTGTACCCTTTTTCCGAAACCGTGAATTTTTTTTAGAATAAGATACATCTTGAAAGTTGTCTAGTTTCAAACACAGATCCGTAAGGTCCATTGAATGAGTGGGACCAACGTCTACGTAAAGAAGGAACAGCCCGTGAAAGGCACACCAGTGCGTGCCATTATGGCGAGTTGCAAGAGAAAAACAGAGAAAGCAGTACTTCAGAATAATCCTAAACAAGGGGTACGTACGAGTGGACAGTTCAACGGGTGGGTGGAAGAACTCCCGTTCTATGTGCGTGTAGGTTCTGGTGGGCCAACTTTTGTACGTGATAGACTTACGTACTATGCGCACCTGGACGACTAATTTAGATACACTACGATGGTGTAACTTGGCTCTTAATCCAACAGAAGTTGTGTGTGTGTGTGTGTGTGAAGTTTGGCAATCGTAATAGACATCATAGGACCGTGCAGTACGCCTAATTCGCATATGAAACTTGTACGCAATAGAAGTGCGAACAAGTGTTCCGTGGGACTCTGATGAGGCCGGTGGGGAAGCGCGAACATATAGAATAGACAAGAACAGAAAAATCCACAATGGAACTGGAACGTATACTTACGAATCCGTTCGTAAAAGCCATCTTCGTCACCATCCTCAGAACAGCATTTCCAGGAAGTTGATAAGTGTTACGCGTCCCATTGCTAGTCGGCAGCTCCCAGTTGGTTTCCACTTTC